AGAGGGAAGCGGCATCATAAACACTACCAGAAACTTCACCTCCGATACCAACAGGACCGGCAGTTACTAAAATAATTATTAAAATAAATTAAATATAATTTATTATTTAAAAAACAAATATGAAATGAAAAAAAGGATAAGCTTACTAGATAGACTTCCTATATAGGGTATATAATAAAAAAGACCATGGATGTTAATTATATATAAAATATATAATAAAATAATGATAATAATAATAGTAAACTAAAAGATGTAATTACCGCCCAAGGTTATATTTTCACCATGGGAGAATGCTTTGACAGCTTCCTTGGTGTTGAGGATGATTACAAAGTCGGTAACGTCAGCACCGAATTGTGCACCAAAACCCTGATAATAAATATTAATAGATATTAAAAATGATTAATAAATATTAATAGATATTAGAAATTATTAATAAATATTAATAGATATTAGAAATTATTAATAAATATTAATAAATAATAAATATATTAATAAAAAATGTCCCTAGCAGCTGGAAACTGAAACTTACCAATCCACCGATATTAATACAAGATGGAGAAGACCAACCTCCGTCTTCAAGTCTACAAGACAAATAGCATTTTACTATATATACAAACATTATGAAAAATGATACAAACTAATAATATAAACTTACTTGGCAACAACCAAACCCGATCCGACGCGTCCGGACCATACAAAACCAGCTTTGACAACGGTGAAGATAGCTAAACCAAGGGCTTTATTAAAGACTTCCCTCGGAATTACATGATCCAAACCTCCTTCAACTTTCTCTGGGTCTTAAAAAAAAAAAACCGGAGAATTCGTAAAAAGTACACGAATAAGTAAATATAAATATGAATATTTATATAATCACCAGTAAAGCTATTCAAGATATTTGTGGCTTTTGTGACTTCAGAAGCGAAATCGCCTGGTAAAGGAGAATTTATGTTGTTTTTTTGCGCAACTTCAGTAACTGCTCTGGTAATTTGTTCTCTTCCGCCTTCATAGGTAGTTTTAACCTTATCAAGGACGTTCGATGCCATGATTATAATTATAGGTTGCAATAAATTTAAATTGTTATTTCAAAATCGTAAATTTTAAATTGTAAATTGTAAAATTATAAAATTTTAAAATTGTAAAAATGTGAAGATAAGGAAAAACAGCGTGAGAGAAATCTGGGGCTATTTATAAAAATGAAGATATGTCAAATATCGGTATATGGTAATTAAGTCGCACGTGTTGAAGTTGCAAGGACAAACATTTGTTATCAAATGTTCTGTCGATGATTTCTTTATGAAACAAAATTTACTATTACATGACGTAAAGGTAACACCAGGGCTAGGGCTGAATGACAACCTTTCACATTTTTCACATTTTGTGTGGCGAGATATATCTATATGTAATAAACATTCGAACATTCGGAGGCTGGCGCGTCTTAGTTTTTTAAAAACCTGACTGTTTAATGTTTAACACAATATAATCATAAGTTTGTTAACTCCGATCGGGAAATTATTTATAAATGATTACCTGTATCACTTTGTGATCTTTGATCTACGCATAAAATCAAATTTATATATGTATATTAATTTTTTTTTTTTTTTTTTATTGTTCAATTTTATTGTTCCACTTTTAAAAACTTAAAATATATCATTTAGATATATAATTTAGATATATCATTTAGATATTTTCCATTAGCCATGCCTGTTCCTTTTGAAGCGCTTATCCCTTTAGGTGAATGAATTTCAGTTAATAAAGATAACTATTATTAATTTCCTAATGAATGAGAATGGATTTTCATTTTCAGGCATAATTATCGGAATGATAGGAGTTACTGGTACCTTATTGAATTATACAAAAAGGATTCGACATGAAGGCAAGGTAATTCTTTAGTATGAAAATGTCAAAGTTATTCCCGAACACTTGTGAAAATTGATTTAACTAATTGTGATGGCGTACAAATTGTTTCGTATCTTGATAATTAGCCTCCAAGGATCTCTTTAGATACTTGGGATAAACAAATGATGGAGCGTGATAGACGATTGACTGGAAGTGCTCATCGTCAATCGGTTGCGTGTTTTCTTTGGAATATCTTGTCATTTTATTAAATTAAATAATCTAACCTTACTTTTTCGGTAATCTTTACGACTTTCTAGTCTAATCCATTAGCTCCAAAAGAATTTTCGACAAACAGTGTTTGGTACCTGACTACCAAAAAAGTTTTACATTAGAAATGGCGTGTCATTTTCGTAATCGTAAAAAATTATATAATAAAATAAAAGTTTATATAAAAATTTTTATATATAAAATTGATATTAAAAAAATTTATATAAAAATTGGTGTAAAAATTATTTTAGTAACTGCCGGTCCTGTTGGTATCGGAGGTGAAGTTTCTGGTAGTGTTTATGATGCCGCTTCCCTCT